TGTGTGTGTGCATGTGTGTGTGTGTGTGTGTGTGTGTGTGTGTGTGTGTGTGTGTGTGTGTGTATGTGTGTGTTTATAAAGGTATGCCCACACATGCGTGGGAATGTCCATGCACACATATGCCTGAGACTCATCACTCACCATTTTATTTTTTGAGACAGGCTGGTTTCTCCCTGATTGTAAAGCTTTAGCGGTTCAGCTAGACTGGCTGGCTTGTGAGCTCCAGGGACCCTCCCCACTCCGAGGTTACAGACAGGCAGTGATACCTTCTGCCGTGGGTCCTGGAGATGGGACCTGAGGTCTTCGTCATGCTCACATGGCAGGCAGGGTACCATCTCACCAGCCCTGAGTCGGTATTTTAAAAGGCGCTAGTGTGTGTGGCTGGCCAGGGTGAGGCTACAGGAGGTTATCAGTAAGTAGGAGTCTTGTCGCTGTAACTAAAGTACCCGTAAGAACAACGTGAAGGAGAGGAGATTGACTTAGGGTCGTTGCTTCAGAGATCTCACCGCAGATAGTTTGGCTCGGCTGATCCTGGGCTTATGGTGAGGTGAGAGCATCATGGCTGTGGAGGCATATGGAATGTGAGCTACAGAGAGGATAGGGCTGGGGACCTATCAAAGGCATGCCCCTAGTGACCTACTTCCTCCAACTAGTTCCCACTTCCTAATGAATCCAGAAAAATTGTGAAATAGTATCACCAGCTGGTGACCAAGTAGTCAGAATATGGACCTGGGAGGGACATTTCATAGTCACACTATAACTCTTCATGAGTTGCCCTAGTGTTCTATGGGAAGGGAAAATGATGCCATGCAGGGATGCTATTTCAGGGATGTGAAAGTGAGGGATGCTGTGTGCCCCTGGAAAAGGAAGAGGTCAAGAAGCCTGGGCTCTTTGTGTCCTGGGTCCCTTTCTCGTGTGCTATCATTGTTGGCTCACGTAATACATCAAGCGTGAAGCACTTGCTACTATCCCCATCTTACTGAGGAGGGTCTGTGAAGACCAAATGACTAGTCCAAGGTCATTCAGTGTTACTGGTGAGATCTGTGCCTAGCCATTCTGACTGCTTAGCCCGTGACTCTGGCCTCTTTTGGGTGCTGCCCTATCCTGGCCTGAGCTGTCCCTTGAAGGATAATCCCTTTGGAGAGTGAGGAATGTGCCATGAGGTCATACCTCCTGAGGGAAATGACTAATTGCCTACAGGATGTATCTCTCCTTAGCTCTTTGACCTTGGGTAAATTGCTGTGCCTCCCAAGCCTCCATTTAGTTTGAGTTTATCATCCATAAAGAAGAGATGGTAATGGACCTCCCAGGGTCTTCATGAGGATCAAATGAGACAATATATGCAGCAGTAACTGTTAGCATTTAGCTGGGGCTCCAGTAATGACCAATGCTGATGCTTATGTAATGTGCTGGGAGCTCAGCCCTCCCCTGCCCTGTTCACCCCTTACATCCCACAGCAGGCCAAGGGTAGAACACAACATCATCTACACCCCATGGGTGAGGAGTCTGAGATGCAATATGGTGTCCCTTGTCCTAATACACAGCACGTCGATCACGGAGGAGAGGCTCACCTCTCACTCCGCTGTTCTGACCAGGGTGGAGAAGCAATCTCCTCTCGGTCAGGAATTGAGCATGTACACGAAGGTCACATTCCACAGAGATGATGGTGACAGTGTGAAGAAGGAACTATGATGTAGACTGCAATGTCACAGGGTCCTTTTCAGTCCTTTTCTGACCCCCTCCCCATTCCCTTGGCTGAAACTAGCAGAACGTGAGAACCCTAGCTCACCTTCAGCACCGCTCCACCTGCGCACCTTGCTTCCATCTCTCCCCAGGAGTATGAGACTGATCATGTCACTCAGCTAGGAGCATTGCAGTCACAGCGATCAGAGGCAAGTTCGTCCCCTCAGGCTTAGCCGCCACACTCTGTACTCCCCATTGAAGTGGGAACCCAACATTTCAGCATTCTGAATTTGGGGCTGGAGGAGGCTAGAGGGGTGGTACTGAGGGAAAATCACAGGAAAAGTGGGGAAGCAGAAAGAAGGATGTTAGACTCATGTAAAAGCAGCAGGGATCTTTGTAGATCCTTGACAGAGG